GATGTTGACGCTATAAAAAGGCGACAGTTCGACACACCGGATATACGTCACTCTCGTCTAAGTTCGACTTGGGAATTTTTTTGTTCAATAATAAATGTGAATTCTTCTTCCTGGAAAAAATAAGACCTAGCGCATTTTTCAGAGCAAAAATTAATATAAGACACTGTCTTATTTTCGGGTAAACACGGTAGTAAAATAATTTTAATATTAATAATAATAATTTAGTAACATATATTTATTCATATTAAAATGTACTCGCGGGCCGTAAAAATTATTTGGCGGGCCGTATATGGCCCGCGGGCCGCCAGTTGGACAGCGCTGCCTTACAGTAATCCAGCAAACAGTTTATTAAAATAAAACATTTCTGCCGTTTTGAGAAGACAGGAAAAATATTTTATCATTATTATATAATTCCAAATGATAATATTGAAATACAGAATCAAACACATTCGTTCCCGAATAAAGATTACTAAAATTAAGACCATAAACCGTGTTGAATGTTCATTCCTTAACCATAACTTATTTTTCTTTTAAAATATCCTTCACATCTATGTTTAATCAATTAATATTGTCTTAATTTTTAGATACTTTTGCATAATGTGGATAAATTAAAATAATCAAATGATATAAATTTTCCAAAATAAAATTTATTAAATTAAAACACAAAATAGTTAATTAGTTAATTAATTAATATGAGTTAATGCCGTTGGCGATAAATATCACTTCTGAACCAACATTATAACAACACATTAAATACATAAAGAACAAGTCATTTTAAAATACAACTTGCAAAAAAGATAATAAAATAAAGTGCACAGATATATAAAAAATAACAATAAGAATTAAACTAAAATACAATAATAGTATTAATTTAACAAAAGACATGCAATAATAGATGGATCAATACACTATTAGAAATATAAAATACTAAAATAAGGAAAAAAGAAAAACATATAGAAAACTATTTTATATGTTTTTGTTTTTTTATTTTAGTGTTTTATATTTTTGTATAGTAATAGTTATCAAAATTAATGTTTATAAGCAAAAAATTATTTAATTCAAAATATTTTTTCTTTTATGTAGTATTTTTCAGACTGGTTTAAAAAACTAATACATAATATTTTTCTTTGAATATATATTATTATTTGAAAAAACTATTTAGTCTTTTTAAAATAAAATATTATAACAGATAGCGCGCACAGAATTTTAAAGTTTTTTGCCAAGAAAGTTACGCAATTCGTTACTGGAATTTTGAAATAGGTATGAACGGTTGGTATTTATTGACATGTCTCCATCTCTTGACAAAAATAAAAATGATTGAAGTTAAAATTGAAGACCGTGTGTCAAAAATGCCACCATTTATTGTCTTTCCTTGTTTTGGAATACAGACTTTGAAGATTGACTTTTCTTTGTAGACTATTTCGTTGCCAAAACTTTAATAGTTCCCTTTAAAAGCAATGACAAAATGTTTAATTTAAAACAAACATTTTTAAAATTTGGTGGTGCTAACCACACACACACACGTTTCTTTTCCATCAGTGCCACGCCGAAACATATTCGAGTTTTTTATCTACTGAAGTTATCATTGGTATATAGATTTTTAGCTGTCCCCTGGGAACAAATAATTATAAGTCTAATATTTACAATTTTTAAAATTTTTTATGGGATGATGATTAAAACCCGTTCTTACCTATTAAAATATAGTATATATTTTCAAATATTAAGTCAGGTTAGGTTATTTCGACATTATAATTCTAATACATAATTCTAAACACAACACCAAGTGTATTAGAAGCATACTTTGCAAACACAATTGATGTGTCATAGCCTCCAAAGGAGAAGAAGAAGAAAGAACATTATTGTACGTCGTCATTTTTTTCTAAATAGTTAATGAAATTTTCAGATAATGTAAAATTTGCCATAAGATTGTACTTAACATTTTTTATCATTTTACACGAAATAATCACTTATTTGATCAACTACATTTAATTATTTATTAAAATTTTAAATAAAGTTCATGCTTTCTGAAATATGTATTATGATTTTTATTATATAAAAATACTAATGTTTAATGCATTGGAGAAGTGCTTTAAAAATTCATTTAATGTACACAATTTTCAATTTATTAACGAAAAAAAATAAACTATTGATATATCAACGATAATTTGCATAAGAATCGAAGAAATATAATTAATAATTAGGAGGTCGGTATTCACGATAATAAATTTTATAATTGCATTTAGGCTATTCAGTTTTAATCAGAAAAAAACAAAATTTGCTCTATTTCATTTAAAATACGAATTATTGTTTCTATAAATTTATAAAATTTTATATAAAACACATTAAATATTTTTATTTTATAAGTTTCTAAAATATTATTTCTGTTAATTGAAAATAAAAGTCAAACGATATTTTTATTCAAAATATTTTAGTAATTCAAACTCGGAAAACATTACAAAATAAAACATAAAACAATAAATGTAATGTAATACTTACGTCTGCAGTTATATTTGGACAGTCGACTTCCTATTTAAAATAAACAAATGAATAAATATCGTATCGAAAAATAAAAATTATTTTGAATGAATATTTTCAATATGCTGTATCTTTCTAATTCGTTTTTAAATAAGTGAATTATATACTTGTTTCCGATTTGTAGTAATAAATTATTTTGCTGTACGAAATCGATCTATTAAAATAATAATTACTAATACAGTAACCATATTAAAAACAAAATATAACCAGGAAAAGCAGAAAACTAAGATTTCAGTCCTAGATAAAGCAGTAAAATCGCCTCCAGATATAAGGGTCACCATGGAGTGTGACAAACCGTATTTCGAGAACCATTTCGAATCTTGTCTGATAATCGAATGTCGCGTGACGAGAGAATATAGAACACAAAACCTTTGTTAATATTAGTCTTTGTTGGAACCGACCATAAGGACGCAAAATTGAATACTTTTAAAAATCGAGAATTTTCAAGAATCGAGTGAGTTTCCGAAAATTTGCAACGAAGACGTTCCGAAATGAAACCAGACTCAATTATTCAAATATAACTTTTATTAATATGGGAATGCATTTCTTATATTAATAAAAAGTCGCAGACTTCTCATCAGCCCATTTAAAAAGTAGACACATGACAGTAAACAATAAATATCTAAAATATTGTAATAAAACCTAGTTTACAGATTGATATTATAAATAACACAGTGCAATGTGTTATTTGTAATCTAAAGTTAAATCGCTTGCCGATTCGAATAACAATTTTTTGGAGTTTTCTCCAACATTTAATCAGAAAATTTTATAATATTTCTTACGTACAGTACAGTAGCTATTACGGTACAGTACTGTACATCCTCTAGAAACTAGGATAATCGAAGATGTGACGTTTCGTTTTACTCAAACGTATCTCTATTTCCATTGGCATCTACGATTATTCCCGCTGTGTAACGACTCGTTCTATGCGGAATAACGTTCCATTGCGGGAACCAAGCGCGACTAATATTTCTTTTGCCGGGCTGACCTATACCCAAAACCGAAACTAACGCCGGCGCACAATGTAAGATTTTGCGCATCTAGCAAGACAAATGTCATAAAAATAATATACAATATATTCACTTATAACCTTTTAAAAACAAACTTAATATATTAAACAAGTCATCCACAAACAACTGCACCGCGATAGGGCCCGCTTGCATTGTTAATCGCTATTCAAAAACCACTTTCAACTTGATCAGTTGAAGAGAGCGCTGAAACGGTGACGGTCGCTGCAGGTCTACAGACCTTGTACAATGAAATTTTGAATGTAATAAAATGAACTTTCCGAATGTGGAGATTTGTTTTCGGCGGTCTTCACGATATGCCAACAGATTTCCGAGAAAATTTAGAAACAGAAACCTCGTCGACCGGAATAGCCGGACGAATTCCCTACCCTTGACATTGTACCCTCAGGCTCCGCTTTTTAAAAGATTACTCTGGTAATTAAAGTACTGTAAGTTTCGAGCGTCTCCTGAAATATAAAGTTAATTAAAGACGATCATCTTCTATTCGTTTGGACATTTCGTTAATTTTCCACGCGTTGTAAATATCCCCTTTATTCCAACGCATTCTCAACGGGAAACAAACGTCGTATCGAAACGGAAACGAAACGTTGGTGACCATTTTTCGATTAATTCGACTCGCTCCGTTCTAAGTAATGCTCCGACTACCACAAATTCGCGCTTTCGGAATCAACGAAACTTCCTACGTTAACGCTTAATGACACTTTTTAGTTCAATAGCGCCGCAGTTTTGCGAAAATTCAATATTTATTAAGTTGTTTTGTCTTTAAAATTTAAAATAGTTTTAGGCGTCGTATTGCCTATAAAAAATGAAAACTTCGTTATCTTAACTGGACATTTTGTAATTTCTCTTTTTATTTCTACGGAACCTTTAAGTTCTCTTATAACAAGTTAATTAAGAGTCACGTGTTACGAATGGACTTAAAATTTACGTAGAAATAAAAAACGACTTTCGGGCGTTCGACTTTCGTCCACGTTTCTGTAAACGTATTACGTCGAAAATATGGGTACGGCCGAAAAATATGTTATATAATCGTTGTTATCGCATAAAATTTTAGAAGCTAATAACGCGAATTTACCGACTTGGGTGGCGCATTTTGCGTACTTTTAAGCATCCTATTAAGACTTTATTGTACGAAACGTTCTGTTAAGCGTTGGCTCCTATCGGAATTTTATAAAACCATTTTCATTATTTTCGAATAAAGGACAACTGTCCGAAGCGGTTCCGGTGTTGGCATTACGCTCGGAGGCGGATTCCGTTCCTCGTCCCTTCGCGGGTCCGGTCGGGCCCGCAAGAAAGACTTTCTTTGCGCGCAAGGAACAGAGAGTAAAAAATAAAAAAATAATCGCTCGCAAGTATTATCTTTGAGAAACAAAACATTTCTCAAATAATATAGTGCAATTGAAGGTATATATAAGTTATAAGTAATCTTATACGTGTATTAAATACTACATAAATATACGTAAGATACTAGAATTTATGTGTTACAAACTAAATAAGTTGTTAGTAAATATTGATTTATTTAATAGTAAATTACCTCGAAGTCTGAACCAGTTTTGTTTTTATGCCACATATCCTATTTAAAAGAAACGTAAATGATTATAGTAAATATTTTCAATATTGAAATTTTAATATTAATTATTACAAGCTAATTTAATTACAATTAAATAAAAATATTCGACAAATATTGCAAATTTTACTATATCCTAACATTTTTATAACAGCTTTATGTTTAAAACAGATAAATAATGATTAATTAATCTACTCTATATCTTATATATATTTATACTTATAAAACATTATGCTTAATGTCGTAATGACATTTTTCTGTCTCGAAAAAAAACAGAAACGGCTGCAATGTAAATCGATCAATCGTCACGAAATTTTTGAACGAGTGAGTGAAGCGAAGGGGGTAGCCGAGGGATGGGATCGAAGCGAGAGGAGGGTGGAAATGTACAGTTCAGTCCACCAAGGGCGCCCGTACAGTACATTGGGGAACTTGAGGCACGTGCTCTCTTTGTCCTTGGATTGCCCTTTTCTTAAACCCCAAGAAAGCTCTAAGATTTCATTTTCTTTTAAAAATTAGTTACTCTGTTTATCACAGAAGTCTTTTTACTGATAACAAAATTAAAATAAAAATATTTGTTATTAACCGAAAATTTATTCTAATGAGTCGTGATTGTTCGTTCGGTCGCGTAGCATCAAGGGGTATCTGTGTATATATATATATATATATATATATAGTGTACGTACGACTCCCTATCTTATAGTTTGTGCCCCCTTTTTTATAGTCTGCGAGCACCGGTACCGTCCACTCCACGGGAGGAAGAGCGAGTGAAGCGAAGCGAGTGTCGTTGGCCTCTCGCAAAAAATTTGTTACGAATAGTCTATATTGGAAACGAATAGAACAAGAGAGCGAAGAGTTGGGCCGCCTTAGACGGCCAAAGACTATAAGACTCTAATAAATTATGTAAACTGTAATATCTGATAATCGATGAAATTTCAGATAAATGAAAAGTAGAATCGTTCAAAATCTACAATAAGAGATTTTGTGCCAGGTTTTTATTTTTTAAATGTAACTGTTTAACGAACAAACATCGCACCTTTCTTGAAATTGAAGAATTTTCGTCAGACCATCTCGAGTTTATCCGCTTTATGCGGACATGTTTTAAAAATAAATAAATGAGACTATCTGTTTAGACAGATCTAAACTTTGTAGTGTCCGAGATAGAAAATGCCAAGAGTGCTAGTATGTATCTCGATCTTATCTTCGAATCGACCGAAGTTGGTAATCGAATTCTCCCGGTTGCGATTAGTATTATAAAAAAGAAAAACATATGAGAGTCGAATGACAAACAGGTAGAAAATGCTTTTCTAGGAGAAGGGTCGATTCGTGAATAATTCCCATAAACTTTCCGTAACGGTTTGTTCCATCTTCGAACCGTAAGGAAAGGTTTGCGGGATGTGTACTAAGGAAAACCTCGAAAAATTTGGAGAAATCCGAAATAAGAAAATGCTTGTCGTATGTCCAAAGTTCTCTAACCTTCTACGAATAAGGAGTCTCCCGTGAGACCAAGCATTTCTCGAAAATGTTACGTATATTGTCCCGTCCTACTCCGACTTCTTGAAGAAAACTTCGAAGATCCTCGTTTTGCTTTACCAGGCTAGAATTAATTAATCCGGTAGCGGTAATTAGGAATCTAAGCAATTCTCTTCTGAGTTTCGAATGCTCACCAGTAGTCTAATGGATAAAAGCATTGAACACTGATACTTGGTCGTGGGTTTCCACCTCGTCAATAAGCTGGTCACGTGGAATTTTTCAGGTTTTCTTCACGTTTGGAACATTTAAATAGGGGCCAGTTTCCCACAGAAAGTACTCTCGGGAAGCATTCCCCAGATAGATTACGTGTAGCATTGCCGTAAACAAATAAACCTAACCTATTCTAAATTTCGACCCATTGCACTCCTCGTCTTTCTCCACTGCCACTCGTCGATTTATACGACATATTGGAGTAATTAATGTCTTATAATGCCGATCTCCACACCATCAATAAGTAATGTCGACATTTATAGATTTAGTATCGTTCACTTCCTGGGCATTACTTTGTAAATTCATAGTAAACAGATACCATATCTTCTGAAAATTACAGGAGTCACCACTGAACTTAGACCAAGCTGCAGTTAACATGCCATCCAATAGATAGGTTTAAAAAAAGTAGCTTTGAATCATTGAATAAATGTTTTACATAATTTAAAACCAATATACAGTAATTAATTTTTATTTCTGCTAAATATCAACTTGGTATCTTGCAAGTTTAACAAAATTAAGCCAGTCAAACTTGAGTCACAAGCATCAGAAAACATAGATCGCTGCGTCATCCCCTTCAATGAACATAGACCAGCCGATAATTTGTATTTAAATATCAGTAATGTTACTATTGCAGTATTTCTGAAACAACTGATTATTTTAGCCTCATTTTACCTGCAGTGATCATGTGAATGATATAAGGTGATTTTTTAGTTTTATTTATGAGTCTTTGCATTTTGTCTACAATGGCAAGAGGAAAAACTGTTTCAGAAGAGTTAAGGAATGCTAACATTGCTAAACACAGTCGTGACATGTCAGAAAGCTATTAGTAAAGAGCTAATGATAATCAAGACAAAGTGCACCAGATTAATGTTCAATACACTAACCACGGCCATGTTATACCTAACAAAGCTGCTGGACATCAGCGAATAACTTGAAAAGTTTATGATAGGAGTTCGAAAAGAATCGTAAAAAACAACCGCTGTACAAAGCATTGAATGTAACTACAATATGGAATTATACAACTGAAGGAATATATCTGTTTCGACAACACGCAAGAGACTGCGAGAAATGCATTTCCGGTTCTATGCAGCACATGAAAACCTTTGTAACAGCACATCAAGAGAAGAAACGGATGCAGTGGGCAACATACATCTTTCCTGGTCTCAACAAAAGTGACATGAAATTCTGTGGACTGATGAATCAAAATTTGAATTATCAACAACAGACAAAAACAAACGTGTCATTCGATCTGCCAATGAAGTTAATGATCCATCTATGTTAAACCACTCAGTGAAGTTCCCTGTCAGAATCATGGTTTGAGGTGTATGAACGCCAATGTTACGGTTCAGTTGACATTTGTTGATGGAACACTTTCTTCATAGCAATACATTAACATTCTACAAGTGTTTACTTCCGTCCATAGCAAAGCTATATCCAAATAGAATCTGATTTTCCAGCAGAATGGGGCCACATGTCATACAAGCACAAAAATTAAACATTGGCTCGCAGAAAAGAACGCAGAAGTTCTTCCTTAACCTTCCAACAGCTCAGATCGTTCACCAATTGAGAATGTATGGACATTATGAAGAGACGTCTGCGAAAAACACGCCCTTGGACAATTGAAAGACTAAAAGCTTCCATCCTAACTATCTGGAATTCCATAATGGCAGATGAATGTGAACACCTAGTCAACAGCATGCCGAAACGTATAGAAAGTGTTTTGGCCGCAAAAGGTGATGCAACAAAATATTAAACATGCAGTGGTCTATGTTCATTGACGGGGTAACGCAGCGGTCTATGTTATCTGATGCCTGTGACTCAAGTTTGACTGGCTCAATTTTGTTAAACTTGCAAGATATCCAGTTGATATTTAGCAGAAATAAAGATTAATTACTGTATATTTGTTTTAAATTATGCAAAACACTTATTCAACGATTCAAAGCTACTTTTTTTAAACCTATCTATTGGATGGCATGTTAACTGCAGCTTGGTCTAAGTTCAATGGTGACTAGTGTAGGAAGCCACAGCGGGCGTTTAAACATCCAATGTGCTTATTAATTTATAAAAGATATGTAATGTTTACTGAGAATTGACAAAGTAATGCATAGCTAAAATAACATTTTTGATTTAGACAAAGAAGGTAAAACGGGGGGGAATAGTATATAACGAAAGGAACTAGGCCTACTGTAGAAGAAAAGGAATGAGAAAAAAAATAAAAAGGAAAAAAAAGAGAAGGAAAATAAAAAGCGCTTCTTATTTCTCAAGAATACACATTAAAGTGTAAAGGAGAGAGTGTGCAGTCAATTTTACGCCTTTATTTTTATTGGGCTGCAATTTTTAAATTGTATACATATAAATTCCCACTGTCATCCGCCTGTCCATCCGTCCGTCTATCTGACTGTCCTTTTTAATCTTGAGAAGGGAGTTAGATACATGAAAACAGAGAGCAATATGGAAAGCTTAAGGAGGAGGCTCCGATTAATTTTATGAGAACTTCCGATGCAGACCGAAAGTCAAGTTATTTTAGTTCGAAAATTTCCCTAGAAACAAGTTAGATAAATGACTCAATTGCTAAAGGAAAAGTATGATGCAAGGCAAGACACTACTAATTTGAAGGTGAAGAGCGTATATTTTAAATTAAATAAATTAAAAAATATGATTAAAAATTGGAGCCCAACACTGACAATGTTACAATAAATATTTGCTCGTTTCATTTGTGAACACTTCGTCTAGTTTTATAACTGCTCTTTGGTTCCATTAGAAATTGTTAACTATTCTAATTGTTTTCACATTCTATCCAGTTTTCTGAAGACATAATTTGTAGCAAATATTACTATTTTTCTCTATAACCTGTTACTTTATCGAAAACAAACGAAGTAGAACTTAGTACAGTCATACCTCAACTTACGCTACACCGACTTACGCGAACCCGGAGTTACGCGATTTTCAAATCTCGTCGATTCGTCTTTTGTTTGAGCGCCACGCAACTCTTGATTACTCACTCCCCCCATACTATTGTTCAGCTTACATGTTCGGACGTGTCGCGCAGAATCGACACATAGCTACAATTTATTTTGTGTTATTTATTTCTGTGTTTGTTATATCTACGGAGACTTGAGAGACTCTATGTGGTGATTTCTTGTAACCGTGAACGAATCAAATGACGAGATAAGATTAACGAGAACATTTATTAGCTTACATACATCTGACTTGGATTTTACACAAATTGCGAAATTATACCCCGACTTACGCGAATTCGACTTACGCGGTTATCGCTCGGTCCCACCTATCGCGTAAGTTCGGGGTAT